GATGGAAAGTGCATAGTGACCACTTGTCATATTTGCCTATTATTACATTTACTTTAGAAAGTCAGTGTATCCGCTTTGAACGTGAATACTTCAATCTATCCAAGCTTTATGTCATCTTAATCTCTGCTTATGCCCAAACTTATTACAAAATCAATATGTGCATGTGTCTGTATTCATATGTTAAAGATATAGGCCAGATACAGGGAGATGTCTTTATACAACAAATATTTTTGGGTTTAGATTTTGTATTTTGCTTCCTTGTTATTACCAACCATCAAGAAATATGAAAATCTTGTCTTCTCCCTCTCTTTGAGCATATTGCTTGACTAAGCTAAAAACTCTAGTGTTAAGGCAATTATTTTAATTGCATTTCAGATTATGTTTGAGACTTTCAATGTGCCAGCCATGTATGTAGCTATTCAAGCTGTTCTGTCCCTCTATGCTTCTGGACGTACCACAGGTAGGCCTCTGGGGAACATGGCATAGACATTAGAAATAGTTAAGTGTGTTGATGTGCACCTGGGAATGAATCATGTGTTATCTTCTCAAAGGGATTGTTCTTGACTCTGGGGATGGTGTCACACACAATGTGCCAATTTATGAAGGCTACGCCTTGCCGCATGCCATCATGCGTCTGGATCTGGCTGGCCGTGACCTGACAGACTACCTCATGAAAATCCTCACGGAACGTGGCTACTCCTTTGTGACCACTGGTAAGGACATGCTGCTGACTGAAGAGGAGAGGTCTTTAATGTGCAATGTTTCTAGTGGCCTTAGAAGGACTAGCAATTGATCTGCAGTTGATTAGATACAAGAAGGAATCCAACAGGAAAGTCCCCTGCAAGACTAGCAGAGGGGAGGGTGTTGGAGAATGAAAGAGAACAACCTGTCAACATGTCTGGGTCCTTCCTGAATGACATTCTAAAGATTGAATTCTCTTGACAGCGGAACGTGAAATTGTCCGTGACATCAAGGAGAAGCTCTGCTACGTGGCCCTGGACTTTGAAAATGAGATGGCCACTGCCGCCTCTTCCTCCTCTCTGGAAAAAAGCTATGAGCTTCCTGATGGTCAGGTGATCACTATTGGAAATGAACGCTTCCGCTGCCCAGAGACCCTCTTCCAGCCATCTTTCATTGGTAGGTTGGATGATTGTTCTGCTTTGGTAAACTGCACGTAAATATCAAGTCCTTATTTTCATTTGATTGCGTCCTATTGCTAACTCACTTAAATGTACACACGAGTATGGCCTAGCACCTGTTATATTAATAGTCTTTTAGAACAGCACTATTAATATGGTGGGAGGAACTTCCTGTCAAACAATAAGGCAAAATGCTTTCCCAAAACAAACCCTGAATGTTTCAGGGCTTCTGGCAGTGGGCCCATGCCATTTTGTATGTTGTGCAGTTGGCTACTATTGAGAAGTATGGCTGCAAAGCCACTTTTCTAAGTAGTGTGAGGATCATAGTTTAAACATGCTTGCGTGGAGGGGGCGGGGGGGAAGCACTACTTTTATTTTTCAAAAAGACTGCTCCAAATCCTGAATCCATGGTTCATCACGTTTGTAGAGCAAAGCCAAAACCATGCTTGCTAATCAACAGCCATGAAGGCAGACTTGCAACAAGGTCACACAGAAATACAGTGTTGGTTCTGCCAGTAGGCAGAATTTTAGCTCAGAAATAGATGAAGTAGTTGCATACTTAGAGGTATTAGGACATATTTTGACTGTTCTGTGTCTGAGCTGGCTCAATGTAAAAAAAAAAAAAAAAAAAAAAAAAAAAAAAAAAAAAAGAAAGCAAATGATTCCAAGACCATATAAGGAATTCTTAGGACATTTGAGATTGCCTGCAAAAGCCTAGTGGAAACTTTACAATTCCACACCCCTAGCTGTCTTTTTAAGGAAGACTTGTGTGTGTAAGAGGGATAGGAGGGCTGTACACCAAGGAACTCCCAAGCAAATAATTTAGACAACTGCAGAATGACTTTCCAGATTTCCACAGGTCTGAAGTTTGATGTCTTCCAAAGAGACACTAAAGTTCCTGTAGTCAGTTCTGTGCTAACAATTTAAAGTTTCTGTACCAAGTTGCTTCCTCAGTGTTCTTCGGTGTCTTCCCCAGGCATGGAGTCTGCTGGCATTCATGAAACCACTTACAACAGCATCATGAAGTGCGATATAGACATCAGAAAGGATCTTTATGCCAACAATGTGCTGTCTGGCGGCACTACAATGTACCCGGGTATTGCAGACAGGATGCAGAAGGAAATCACCGCTCTGGCTCCCAGTACTATGAAGATCAAGGTATGGTGCAATTAATTGTAGACTATTTGAGCTGCCATTTACAAAGTCCTCAAAAATCCAATGAAACATAGCAACACTTTACAAAGTAAGTGCTTTGTACATGTTTGGAATCCTGTCGGTACCTTCTAGCAAATAATCGCCACAGGGTAACTTTGTTGCTGGAAGAAGAGAGCCTTCTTTCTTTTCCTTGTTCAGGGTGAATTCTGCAAACTGCCCCAGCATGGCCTCAGCAGCGTAAATTTTACTCTGGGGCCATGTGTGAGCTTCTTCAGCCCTTTTTGGCTGACAGAGATGGGAGAGAAGAAATGCTGGTTTTGTCCTTGGCTTACAAGTTCAGAAAACAAAGAGTGTCTGACAAGCCTGTCTTCCTTCTGCTGCTTCAAATCTTCTGTTCCGTGCTTTGCAAACATTTTATCAATCAGCTATACTAATAAGAGTGCTCCATAGGTCACTCGTTTTTCCAAGCTCTCCTGGGCTATCATTATATGTTTCCAGAGCAATTATCTCCCCTTTTCTCATATGCAGTCATGAATACACAAATGCACTACTCTTACTGGGCATACTGACTCAGGCAGAGAAATTGAGGACTTCAATTCAGACTTAAAAAGTTGTTATTTAACTTTACCGCTTGCAGTCATAGCTAACTGTAATGCCAGGATGACACTAGCACACAGATACAATGTTTTCGTTAATATCAAATACCACTGCTTTAATATTTTTGTCTAACAAATGTATTTTATCCACAATGGCCAGTTGTACTTAGTGCTTTTATTTCTTACACAGATCATTGCTCCTCCTGAACGTAAGTACTCCGTCTGGATTGGAGGCTCTATTCTTGCCTCCCTGTCTACTTTCCAGCAGATGTGGATCAGCAAACAGGAATATGATGAAGCTGGCCCATCCATTGTTCACCGCAAATGCTTTTAAATTGTTTTATCTTTATATGCCTCATTAGTGTATTACTGTGAATGTATTCAGGAAAATACATTCTTATCATTTCATTCCATAAATCCTTCATCGTACTAAATCTAATTAATTGGATACTATGTATTTTTTTGAATAAATTTTAAATATGCTATGAACTTGCTGCTTCTATTTAAAAAAACACACCATCATGCATTTGTGGAGGTACATTACAGCTGGTTTGAAGCTCCATCTTGTGACATGAATTTGTTACTACACTATACTGGGCTTAATAGAAAAAGTGGTACCTTTTGCTCAATGATACCAATATGCTAGAAAATGCTCAGGTATCAGGCTGCACGTTGTCAAGGTTTAGCCCCAGTAAACCTTTTAGTCTGCAAACAGAACCAATCTTGCTTTTTCCAGTTCTGGACAGTACCAAAGGAGCATAGCATCTGTTCAATACTAGGATGAGCATGGGCACTCTGCTTTGCATCTGCTCTATCTAGAAATATTATCTGACTGCATCACTTACTACTTAATTTACAGCTGTCATGCTGGAAAAGCTAATTTTTTTACAGTGTGTGGCCCAGAAGTGTATGACATGTACTACAACAATTCTGTGTGTTTTCTTTAAAGAAACAAAACCTGTTCCTTTGGGAGCATATCTAAACACTAATATTAATTAGCTTGAACACATGACTTGACTTACTTTCCTATCATATGCCCTCAGGATGAAGTGCAGCCTATTATTTTTATGTTGTGATTTCTGGCAAGGTCTAAAGGATAATTAAGCTGGCTTAATACACTTTCTCTTCAGAACCAAGGGTGTTGGTTTTTTTTGGGGGGGGGATGTTAATGTAATCCAAGTAGACAAAATAATTTAGACAACTGATATGCAACTAGAATTATATGCACAGAAGCTGAAGCCAGTAATACTGCCTTAAAAGTATATATATATATATATATGAATAAAGAATTAATGGAGACAGACCTGGAAGAGGTCAGTTCTAAGGAACTTGCAGCAATCTGTGTTCATTAGAGTTCAGGATAAAAGGATGCTATTTATTTTTGTTACTTAGACAGGAAACTAAGCTCAACAGCTTACCCTGCGTGCCTGTTACTTGTTATCTTTCAAACTGTAAGCTCTTTGCGACAGCATCTGTTTTTTACCATGTCTGCATAACCCCTGGGTTCCCAATCTTGTCCAGCTTCTGACTGTTAGCACATGTTCCAAACGTTGTTGTACTAACCTTATTATTTAAAGTATAGGTCATCTAGGTTCTTGGAATAGATACTAAATAAACTCTTGTTAGAGCAAATAACTTCGTATGGTTCTTCCTTCTAACTCTGTCTAGATCTGTTTAATCTAACTCTAGATAGAACCAGGGAATACCTTTCAGAATAAGAACTTGATTTCAAATACAAATTTCTACTAGAGGGGTGCTTGAGAAGACACATTTCTCCAAGGGACTCTAATGCATCTCTGCTATGCCAAGATGTGATGAGGGTCATCTCTCAGGTAAAGGACTTGTGTTTTCCACTTAATAACTTAGCCCAAGCTTGAGCTGTACAGGGATTGAATGGGGAAAAGGATGAAACAATAACAACAAAATCACCCAAACTGATCTATTTGACTCTACTACATATAATGTAAATTCATGTAAGAGATGCAGTGAAGACATACATAGTCTGGAAGTCACAAAAAGTCAACTTACTTTCTGAGAATTAGAGATTTCTAACAGTAAAGTAATTAATGCCAACAAGTAAAAAACCAAACATTACTTTTTTTCAACACAATTACTGTTGTTTGACATTCATTTTATTGTTGTGTTTTATAGGTAAGATTTGTTTACAGATTCAGAGGTAATGCCATTGAACTCCATCTTGACAGAGCAACAAAATAATTCCAAAACAGCCTACAGCAATAAATATTAAACCATTCAATCTAAAATGTATAAATATAAAAGTCATTTCTGAAAGTGTAGGAAAAACAGGAATCCACTTTTCTGTTTTGGCCATTTGCGTAGTAACATCACTATCTTCCATCTGTATCACCTCAGATCCAGCACAATTATCTTTATGTCTTTCCCAACCACATGGGTACATGGCTGCAGAAGAAGTCAACCCATTACTGACAGAAATCTGTTTCAGTAAAATAGCACATAAGGGCTATTGCTTCCTTTTAATTTTCTGAGCCTGCTTAATGCTACACCTATCTATCCAACTTTGATTGTACCTGTCACTATGCCTGTTCACAGGCAAACCTGATTGATCATCACAGGTATAGACTGCTGAATAAAGCAAGGACTAAAACATGTGATCAGAAATAAATTTCTAAAGAGGATATTGTTTAGTGCTTAGCCTGTGAAACAGCAGATTATAGTTCTGTGCTATCCTTCATGTTTATAAATGAGCTCAAGGGGCCAGTAACTTCATTGATGAACTAAGTCTGTAAAGGACACTGAAAAGAACCCACCTGGAAGAAAAATCTTAATTTTTCAGAGTTGGACTACCTTCTCATTATCCCTACAGTCAACAACAAAAGAACAGAACAAAGAAAGAACCCCAATCTTTCCTTTTGAGGAATCATTCTGACATTCTGGGAGTCCTACAATGTAATTTCCAATGTCTTTCAGCATTCTCTGCATTCAATCATTTTATTTTGAGCTATATGAGATGCTCTGCATTTGAAGTGAACCCCATTTAAAAAAAAAATCTTAATTATTCAAAAGGTAAAGATTGTTGTCTTCCAGACAATAGTGACATTTCTGACAACTCTGACTATACTGTTCAGCCATACATATAACATACTATGCTATTAAAACATCAAAAGATAGGGTAGTTATTGAGAAACAATTATGAGAAGCTGGGGGAAAATTTTGGGCAATGAAGGAAATAAGGCATAGTCTACTCATAGCTGCACTTTTTAGCAGCTGGTTTGTTCTGTTGACACACCACAGTTGGGGAAATGAACTTAATCTCCCTATGCTGAATCTGTTTAAAAACTTAAGAGCTAGGGAATAACACCCATTTAAAACTGTGGCTTTTGCTTCTTCTGAAAGTAGGTAAAAAGAGGTGACTGATGGTAACTGCCTCTGGTTACCCACTATTTGAATGGCTGTGTGTAACACACATCTCATGGCTGCTACTGACTGCTTAAGTAGATTCCTGATGTCTGCCTTGGTCAGTGAAGTAAGGGTAATGAATTATTAAAATGGGGGAAAAAGTATTAAGAAACCTAATCTGAAGTACATATAATTTCTGCTTGCAACAGAACCAAATTTGAATACTCAAAACCATGTTGGATTACGTACTTACATTAAATAACCTAGGGTCCTTTGTATGTGGATGGAATCCCTTCTTTTTACAAGCAGAAACTTCTACCATGCCAGCATTAGTAAGTCTGAAGATGCCAGTGCTGGAAAGCAAAAGATGAAACTACGGTTACATACTGCCCCCATAATACAACTCCAAGGTTTCACATACAAATTGCTTAGCTTAATAGAAGGACAACAGAATGGTACTTAGTGACCTTTGATACACAGGAGCTAAGGCTGGGTTGGAGTCTTAAAGATATTTGAAATCAAGGGGAGCTGTATTCCTGTAAAGAAAGAGATGATGGGGGAAGGGGAGAAAAAAAAACCCCATAGTACTGGTGCTATTCCCATTAGGCAGGTTAGCCTACTAAGGGCCAAGGCTTGTTTACGCAGGAACAGATACAAACCAGAAACTTAGGAGTTTTGAATTGCATTTCACTGAAGTCTAGAGGGGCAACTTAAGAGAACAGCCTTTAAACTAGCTGTGTAAATGACTAGTGAGAGTACACATCCTTCCCTCTCTTTTAGGTAATCAAGTAATACAAAGCACTAGAAAATGCACTGCTGCATATGTATGTCCTAATACTAGTATTGAATAAAAAGTTAGAAAACCCACCCTTCTGTAAAAAACAAATACCTAATAACTACAGGACAGCACCTGATTAATAAGTGTTACAGATATAAATAACAGGTTAGAGAAATAGGAGTAACAGGTTAGAGCTGGTTACAGCACAAACTATGAAAGAAATTTGCAAGAGCAGAGATTTGAAAAAGTGTGCAGACATTATGCTCTGGCTTACAAAGCCTAGTGCTTGTGCACTTGCCCCTCAATCTTCATTTACAGCTCTGCTACCCGAGTGGCCCATGTGGGAAGTTAGGCAACCAGAATGGGATTCACAGAAGTCATCTACAGGGACATAAGATCAGGAAGAAAGGCACAGTCTAAACAATGGAGTTAGCCCTGGGCCCTTGAAACTCCGAACACACCGAAGCAGAGGCAAAAGTTGAAGTTGGAAGGAACCTCTGAAGATTGTCGAGTCCAACCCCCCTACTACAGCAGAATCACCTTGAGCAGGTTGCCCAGTCCAGCCAGGTTTTGAATATCTCCAAGGTTGTAGACTTCACACCTCTCTGGGCAACCTGTTCCATTATAAACCTTCACATTAATTGTTATGCAGTTCCAGCTTTTTCTAGATACTTATTGTTTGTATTTTATGAAATACAAAACTAGGACCTTATTATAAAAAAAAAAAAAAAGGGTGCTCTCTATCCCTCTGCTCCCCAAACTGCAATTTTCATATCACCCTAGGGAAATCCGCTTAACCCCACCACTTCCTTCATCAGACAGAATGACGAGAGGTCTCTGGTAGGGCACTGGCAATGAGGTCTCCAGAAGAACAACTCCTGTCATTACTACTTGGTTGAGCAGAGTATAAAAATAAATAACATTTAAAACCTGGGGCTGGGAGGGAGGAAGAAAGAGAAGCCAGAAACAGTACTATGCATATAGACTGACTGGAATGCAAGTCTAAACAACTTTGAGAAAACAAAAGTTACAATACAATATTCCTGCCCTTCATTCCAGTTGACATGTTCTGTTTGCATTTGATCAAACTAAGATAAGGAGCAGGGGAAAATATCTTAATATTACTTAGAAAAATCAGAACTCACTCATTATGCTTTGGTGAACAAACAATTGCAATGGCCTCTGGCAACATTAGCTGATAAGAACAATGAGTATGAAGATCAACACTGGATAAGAATGCAGTTTGTGTTGGATGTGTCTACAAAAAGAAAGGGAAAACTCAACATCATGAAATATTTCTTACAAATCAAGGTCGACATACATTCAAGAAGGAACAATAATTTATAACAAGTGAAAGAGTCAGTACTTCCCCAGTTAGGTTTCTTAAGTTCCTATTAACCCAGATTCTATATTGTCAGGGTGGCTTTTCAGTATGAGGTTTATGGAGGCACATTCATAACCAGACGTACAAGCAATTTTCTGATCATGGGGGGAAAAGCATGGTATGAAGAAGCACAAGACAAAGGGAAATGACTTGATTGTCCAAAATGGGTAAGAGTGAAATTAATATAAAAAGCTTAAGAAACGCAAAGCCCTCTCCCCCAATTTTTGAATACAGGAGAAAAATAAATGGCATTAGAAAGTAATAAAATACCCCTAATCCAACATAAACAGAAGTTGCACTGGCAAAAGCAGGCCCATTGTGTCAACAGGATCCCTCAACTTCATTAAGAAATATTCATCTGTGGAGAACATTAGAGCTTATTTACAGCACTACAATTAGAATTAGGTGAGCAAAAGAATTTGGATTATTCCAGTTATTTCTTCAGTTTGTTTTTTCTAGGGTTTCTTTCACATAGTATGCAGAGCTGATATAGATTCTGGCTTTTCTATGAGTCATACGCACATGGATCCAACCCAAAGTGAGGAGATCATACTGATCCTGAATACCAAATAATTCTTCCACATTCTCCATGTCGCAGTAGTCTGGTCCTGCAGATTGCTTTGGCACTATTACATGGGTAATAGTAAATTCATTATGTGTCTGTAAAACAAACATTGACTTAGACTGGACTAAATGAACTAATGAATAAATACTAAATCAGAATCTGAAAGATGTTGGCCTATCAGCTAAACCAAAGCAGTATACCTCCACTGATTCCAGTGCAGCTATACTGGCTTACTGCACCTGAAAACACACCTTAGCTTTTTAATCATGAAAACATATAGGGAAGTATTAGTAACAACATGAGACTGTTGGATTTAAGTGCTTGCAGAGACCAGTGTGAAAAGGATGTCCTTTAAAAAAATTTAAATAATGAAAAAAGAGGTTTAAGTCTACTATAATTATTTTCTGTGAAAATTGAAACATCACTACTCTTGCTATTCTTTCTCTTTATACAATTCAAATACAAAGAATTTTAAAGATGATGTCCAAGTGTATGCCAGCATCAGCCATGACATCTTTCCCTGCTGTGAAAGGACATTAATTGTTATCTAGGTCAAAGGAAAAAACCAGCCTGAAAATCAGATGTTCTACAGCTTGGGGTGGGGGGATTTTCTTCTTTTTTGTTGTGCCATTATGCATTTGATGACTCCACTAGATTCTAACAGTCTTTATGTTTCATTGTAAGTGAGGTTTAGTTACAGGACCTTAGATGAATGCCAGAGAAAGTACTCGAAAAGCCTGTATTGTATACCATGCTGAAAAACTTGCTACATTTTATCATGACAGCAGTGTAACTTTGATCAAACGTTTCCCCAATAAGGCAAACCCACACAACTGAAATGACCGCTCAGATTATAGTATTAAGTTAATTACATTAAAGGCTAATGATTTAGATCTGCTTTTGCTCTGAAATTGATATATTATAGGAAAATACAGCTCTATCAAATATGTATTTCCCCATACAAGTGCGAGGGTTAAACTGTACCAGTTTTCCACAGAGAATTCCGCATGTCTCTATTCCTCTTACTGTGTTTGCCTCCGCTAGCAGCAGAAATTTGTGACAGAGATCCCTGGGCAAAATGACGCCTCTGAGTGCTTCAGCCAATTGAGCTAACAAAAAAAACAAACAAACAAAAAAAGGAGAGATAAAAAGGCATTTGCAGCTTATACAGTGAAGTTCCCTAAAATAAGGAAATATACATAGTTACAGGGAATTATTAAAAGTGAAAGAACTATACTTAACACATCACAGATTTCTAATGAGAATAAATATGCAGCACAAGCACTTCAACCCTAAACTGAGGTCACCAGCCCATAAGATACACTCCCTAGCTTGTGCCTGAGGTGACAGTGAGCTGATGCGATTTCCCAGGCCAGGTCTTTCCAGGGTGAACCAATGCAGGTTCTGCTTCTATTCCCTTGAAGTCCACAGCAAGATTCAGACTGCATTCCACGTGAACACTAAGGCTTAATCTCTAGATCCATCTATTGGTACTCAACTGGAAAATGTGAGACTGTGTAACTAACCTCCTCTCTTAAAATGAGGAAACTATATGGAACTGTTGTGTGCACATCAACCTGTTCATGCTTATTTCACTATGGACATCCTCATGGCAAATAAATAGATATGCATATGCAATATGTGGACTGGTGGTATAAGAGCAAAGAGGCAGATAAAATAAAAAAGGAAAAAAAAAGTCTCCGCACTTACTCTGAACAGCACTTAAAGTAGCTGCTGGCTTCAAGATTCGGTTTACTGGAGGTGAATGTCCAGTGCAGCCAGATGTGCTGCTCCTCTCTTTTTTCTCAAGCAGTGCAGTAGATAAGGAACTGTTCTCTGGTACAGAAATACAAGATAGCATACTTCCATCTATCTGTTCAGACATAACCATGCTCTCTTTGATTTTCTGATCTCGAGCTAGTTCTTGCTTCTTAAGCTGATCCTCAAAGAATTGAAATTGTTCTGATTCAAGCTGCTGTTGCCGCATATGTGCAATTCGTTTCTTCTCTGCCTCTATTAGCTTTTGATGCTCTAGTTTCTTCAGAAATTCAGTTTTACATTTGTTCTGAAACATACGCAAAATAGTGACAGTCTCAGAACACTAAAAAACACTCAAAAAATGAAGGGAAAGAAGCAATCTAGTTGTTTAACAAAACCATAAAATTCTGTCATTAAAAAGTAAGTATTGTGGAACCTGTTTGATGAACTGGCAAATACAGCTGTAACCCCAAAAGCAGTACGATGTGGAAAGAAATACAGTAAGTATGGAATTCCTAACACAAAACTTCCAATCTGCATACCTCTGTGCTCTGTTTTACTTCAGTAGTGATAGCATTTGCCTCATTTTCTCATTATAATAAAGTAATTTAAAAAAAAGTTTTCAGAATAGTGATGGTAAAGAGATGAGACACAAGTCTAAGTCCTTACAACTTCCCATGCAACAAGAGATCCACGAGCGCATGGGTTTTCTGGACAGATTTCATAATCCATATTGTTATCTGGTTTTGTTGCTTGTTGCTGCTGTTTGGATAGATTGGTCAACTTTCTCCTGCTATTTTCTTTCCTCAACTTTCCCTGGATTGCTTAACCTGACTTTGGTGCATAGCCTCCCCAGCCTCAGACACATTAGGTGCCTTCTCTGCTCTAGTCTATGCCCTCTTGCCCCCAAGCCATGAACTGCAAGTGAATCTTCAGGTTTCAACAGCCTTTCCTATTCCATGGTAAAGGAGAGCATCAAGCATCTCCAGAAGCAAATGAGAAAATCAGCACAAAGTCATTTCTTAAATGTCATGAACAAAACAGAGCAGGAAAGAAAGCCTCAAACCAATCAGTGACAGGAATATGGGGTGTAGGGTAGTTTGGGTTTTGGTGTTGAGTCAATTTTAAGGGAAGAAAGGAAAAAGATATTTTTTCTCGGGTGCTCTTTCCAAGACAAGTTTTTAAAACTACAGATCCTGTTTTCAGTGACTTCAATACACAAGACACAAGTATTAACAGTTACTTGAAGACTCAAACAGGATCAATTCAAACTTGAGCACACTCAGAGCCAAGGGACCTTTTCCACATACTCATGTAATTGTGTCAACAGTATCTTCTTTATAAACAGAATGAGAGTCTACTAAAGACCTGTTTGGATATTTGTAGACTGTTCTTAAGTAAATATCACAGGACATTTATTTCCAAGCACACACTTGCATTACTTGTTTTCAAATGACCAACTGGTTAGATTCTGAGAAGTGAAGAGTCATCCTAAGCAGCCCGTGAAATGCCTAGGTTCTTGCACAACTGGTATTTAACTGCTTAACTTTTAATAAGTTTTATATGACAGGAAAATATTCATACCAACAGTGATTTAATACCTATATAAAACTTACTTTGTTTTGCATGTATTCTTGATATTCTAAGTTATATTTTTTTAAAAGATCTCTCTTCAATTCATCTGTCCGTGGAAATGCAATCTCCTTCAATTTCTTTGGTGTGGGATGGGGGAGAAAGATAGATAAGTTTACTTTTCACTTTTTAAAAGAACCACCTGGAAAACAAAGTCAGCTGTAATACAGATTTCAAAAAAAACAAAGCCATAAAAAAATACTGTTCTTCTCCCAGGAAAGAAAGGATGAAATACACACTAAATCATCTGCTTATGAAACTTCTATAATACAGTGATTTCAATATAGCTATATTAATTTATGTCAATGATAGGTGCGATATGACTACTTCGTTATCTCAATGAAAGATTAGTTCTTTTTCTAGCAATCTCTTATCTCTTTTTTTAATAGGTGTGTGATGACTAAGCTTTTTTAAAAATTACATCTACAACAAAAATGTAAGTCCAATTTTCAGTGTTTCAGGTAGGATCATCACATTTTTCTCTGAGACTCCCTGGACAGAAATATTACTGAATATATCCATTTCCAGGTGGGGAAAAAAAAATGTTTATTTGTAGAGATAGCTACATATGTAGCTTAATATGACAGCCCCTGCAGACAAAATAATTTTGTTTCCTGAAACAAAACCAATGTCCACTGTTTTCTACCAATGCAGGGGCTACAACAAAATGATTTAGAGGCAAGGGAAGGAAAGAGACCATGTGGTTAATCCTACTGCGTGTCACAGGATGGAACATGTTAGATGCCCTTTCTCAACAGGGATGTTTTCCTAGATTGTAGGACACAGTCAAAAATTTGACATTAAGCATTTTGGCTTTGAAAATAATGTTATTCAACTTTAACAGTAGAGAAAGCATGCAAATATGGCAGCATGAAGCAAGTGACATGCTTATTCTAATAATTCTCATTGGGCAATTCCAGATATTTTAAGCTCAGTATAAGGCTGTGTTTGAAATTTCTCTTTTAGCAAAAAAGAGGAAGAAAAAAAGTAATCTTTTAATTTTTAATCTATCTTCTATACAAATGGAGGAAAAAAGTTCTGGTGAAAACTAAGTAAATACATATTTGGTAATAAAGGAAGCAAAAACATACTTTGATTATTTAGCAAGGTAAGCAAATACTGCACAGACACTAGTAATGCCATACGTCTCTCTCCCCCTCTGTTTGCAATAGTCAGTTTGGATCATTAGCCACTCACATAATTGGGACTACAATCAAACTACAAGTACTGTTAAATCGTTCCATTTTTAGTATGTAAACTTTCAGAAATAGATGTACCTAGGTTTCTAACAATCTACCAACTTATTCAGAGACTGTTCTCATTCACCTTGTAGAACAATAATTTAATTTCCAGTAATGATCAAATGGTTAAACCAAAATAAAACATGAATGACTAGTGGAAATTCAAGCTGTGGTGACTGCAGTGGGCTATGTGTGTACTGGGGGAAAAGTTGCTAGGAAAGAATGGAAAGATTCTGGGCGAAACATTTCTTAAGGGCCAGAAAGCCATAACCCTACCTTAATGATAACTTGTTTTTCTGGTACTGCACATTGGTGATAGTCTCGGTGACTGGGCAGCTTTTCTACAAACAACCTAGAAAATTAAACATTCATGTGTTCACCTCAGCAGCCAGAGGAATATTTACAATAGCTTTTGTGTTGACAGAAAAATCATATTCACATAACTGTTAAACACTGAATTCCAGATGACTTGGAGGAGGTTTCTACACGTTTGTTTAAAATAACGTTTGAATTCTTGTATAGACTTGTATGGGACACTTAGGGTAATGACAGGAGATTATTTTCTACATCCGAATGTATTTTGGCTTTTATTAGTAGTGGGTTGGGTTAAAAAAAAGGACTAAGTAGCAGCCAGCACCTAAAAATAGCCCTCAAAACCACCCTCCACTGTAGCCAGTGTTAATAAATGTTATTTCTGCTGTCTTTATCTGTCCTCAGCTGAAATGCTGAAACTTAAATGAGAAGTTGAGAATGCAGCACTGACTACCGTTAATGCAGTTATTTTTACCAGACCAAGCTGCACAGCTAACTGCAGTATTATTAACCTACCCAGACATCTAAATTATGGCAACACTCAGCTGCAAGGAGCTTGGAATACACAGCTGCTATCATTCTTTCAGCAATTTGTGCAATGTTCACCTGCAGACCCTCTTTTTACATACAATTAAAATTAAGTGGAATAAGAAAGTTTTGGTCTAGTTTTCAGAGTATGAGGAAAATAAAGAGAGGGAAGGATGTTTCCTATTATGAAAATTTTAAAATACGCATATAAAAAAAACACCTTTCAGAAGTAGCAAAACAAACCAATGAACCCTACAGCAAAAGTAGTTAAAAACTTTAAATCTGCCACTAATATATATTTCAGCTAGCTATTTTGAGAGTTGTAATGAAAGCTGTCAGGTTTTTTTTTTTGGTGGGAAGAATAATCATGCAATGAACATATATATTGTGGATTTTGCATTTACTCCTGTAAAAAGCTTAATCCTTTTGGGGAAGAAAAGTGAAGAGGCAAAAAGCCATTTATTCATGTTTCTTAAGTGCTGTGCAGTACTACCATCTTTAAGATCTGCAGAAACTCATAGGTATTAACTATTAAAGGCTCAGAAATCTTGCCTAAATGTTTGTTTTTAAGACATGCACTCTGTTTAACCAACATGCTGATAGATACAAAATAATCTGTGGGAAACAGTGCTCGTAGTATAGCTTGGTACAGTAAACTTAAACTTCTGTACATTAGGTTAGTTCACACCTGGCAGTTAGCAGATAGATAGGACTACCATACTAACAGTTGAGGTGAAATTATAACAAAGCCTGTGGTTAGAGTAAAGATCTCAAAAGAACAAAGCTATTCTGCAAGAAAACACTAAAGATTTTTCTCCTAAAGTGCCCTGCTTTCACTGCAGTTGTTCATCTCAGTTTACTCAGAATTATAAGCTGTAATGACTACAAGTGGTTTCTTACGTTATAAATTTATTATAAAAAACAAAAGCATTCTCCAGGTTTCCCTCCTCCATATATACTGATGCCATCCGCTCCATCTCTACTCCAGATCTAAAGTAACGACGCGGAGTGATATCTTCATTGATTGTGATATTGCTGCCAAGTTTGCTCAAGGCACGTACTCTCTCTTCTGGGGTCACAGAGATGTCTGTATGGTCAGGAATAGCTACTAGCTTTTTCTGAAAAAGAACAGAAATTAGCAAGGAGAACTAGATATTATGTTTCACTTTCAGTAAGTGATCTCATTCAACAAACTCAAGGGAAATCAGCTTTTTTCTCAAAATGGTTTCTGCACTGCTAGCCACAGTTGAAACATGCCAACATGTTTTCTCAATTGCAAATAAATTGTGATTACAATTACAAGTAAAAAGTGATCTTACCTCTCTCTCCAAATCTTCACCACAAAAAAATGCCAGAAAAAATTAAAAACAAAAAAGTTAAGTAAACCCCTGTAGAAATTATCAAAGGCAACACAAAGTGTGTCCTCTTTAGAATCCCCCCTACATGAAATTCTATAAGGTTCTGCCTTAAGTTATTTCAATAATTTGGTGGAGGGCCTGAATACTCAAACTCTTATTACATTGTGTGTGAGGTATGACTGCCAGGTATAGTTCAGCTAACAGAGAAGTACGTTTCCCTGGTCAGTCAACAGTTCACTTCAAATGTTCATTTCCAGTCTCAAAAGAGGCAGTTAAAGTCTAAGAAGTTAGTTCTAACTCTACTGAAGAAGAAGCATAGCTGCTTATTATAATCATTACCTTCCTGTTAAGTGGCTAAATAATTGGCTACTGCAAGTTGTTTCCTCTTACTTTAATGAAAATTTTTACTCTTTCTATTCAAAATGTGCACTTCTTAAAAAGCTGATCACTGAAACAAGCTAAAACCCCATAAACCATATATCTAGAAATAAAATAAATTCCAACAAAACAATCAGGCAGAATGTGGGAGGAATTGGCAGCATGCAGGAAAAGACCCTTGCAGCTGGCAGCCAACACTGCTGAGCAGCTCTCTTGAATTATTTCCTATTTGAAAGAGAGAGTGCTCAGCCATTAAAGTATTTCTTTGTAATACATACCAACGAGCTGACAGTGAATGGTTGTTCCATGTTGTTCTCTGTCTGCAAACCAAGGAGATCGCTCTCTTCCTCCAAAGTCTCCATCTGACTGCAAAGGGCAGTATCAGTCCAGTGCTGAATATTTGCAGCCAGCTGTCTCAGGGTTTATCAGCCCAAGGGAAACTTGAACATAGACACGTTGATTGTGGTTGTGTGCTGGAAAAAATAAGACAAATCATTCAGATTAGAAATGCATTCACATATCATGTAAGTTTGCATGCCTGCACCCATTCATTACTTTGGTATCACAGTACTTGCATATTTAGTAATAATCTAAAATTTACCAGGCATCTAGAATTTAAAATGGGAATGCATGGGGGCTTACAGGACAGTTGTGGACTAGCTGACCTGCTATAATGTTATTACAGTGGATTGGAACACAGTATAACACATTATTTTTACCATTTTTCTTTTTCAGAATCTGCAAAAAAACCCAACTTCCAAGCATTAAGTGAAAAACTCAAAAGTTCAAAAACTAATCACAGAACCTGTGCTTCCTTGAGCATATATTTTGACAAACATGTTTATAAGCAGTGTGAATCTGGCATCTTTTTTCCCTGCTAAGTCTATAATTAAAACATAGCACACAAACTCATATCAATAATATAAAGCAGAGAAAATACTTCAAGCAGCATGTGTTTCACCTGCACAGATCACCAACTTCAACAACACTCAAAATACAATGAACTCTGATGAGTCAGCTGGCAGTAATTGCTCCTTGCACGGTTCTGAACAAGTAAAGACAAATATTTATACATGTGGTCATCAGAAAAAAAATCAAACCAAAACACACACACACACACAAACCACCAAAAAAACCCAACTCTGAAAGGGAAATAAATTATTTAAATTACACTGGAAGTATGAAAATTAAGCTCCTAATGTATTTTTTCACTTCTGTGCACTCAGTCTAAACAGATTTGATCCTGAATGTCGAAGGCACTTATGTGTTGCAATAAATATGCTTTATGCTTTTGTAAAAGCATGAAGAGTGGGTTCAGCAAAGATATTTTCTCAGCACACCTCTTTCTAGAGGCCAGAGGACTCTAACCCAGAGTAAAACAATCCTAATGTGTTTTTAGCTGTCTGTACTTCTCAAGTATTGATTTCTGTATTTGGGTCTTCCTCTTTTTTTTCAAAAACTAACATATCTATTAGATCAGTCTTTAATTTTAACTATGAGTGCAAGTACTACAGGAGACATTAAATTCATTTAAGTAATACACTTTCTTTAAAATAATCATAATCATCCTGTTTTACTTGTAAAAAAATCCTTACTGGTATACTCATTCCACTTCATTAAATCAATCTTACTCCGCTTTTGTGTACGACCATTCAAACTCAATGAACATATTCTTGCTTGACTTTATACCCATGTTTTCCATTTTCAAGATTTTTATTCTCATCATCAGGTATGTCACAGATCTGTGAATTCAATTTCAAGACCTGTTTTTTTGAAATTAAGATATTCAAAATGCTTGCACAGTTTGTGACCAAAAAAAAGGAGCATGGCTTATACACTCAAGACATCAACATTAGTTGTGGTTGCAGTGCTAATGGAAAGAGTTCTCTAAATAATTTAATGTTATATACATGGAGCTCTGGTATAAATGATCAGTTTGGCAGGAGAGCCTACTCACAGACTTTAGAAAGGCCTCACGGGATCACAATAATGAAGTAGTTTTGCTTTAGCCTACATACTGCCTTATGTCTAATTCCACCCAAAACCCTTTTTCCACTGGACCACTGTAGATGTTGGAGACTGTGAAAGGAGATGGCAAAAAGCTTGTCCAGTGCAGAGCTCAGGTTAATCTTCTGCGCCTGCAGCTCAGATTCTAAGCAGAAGTAAAATCTTCAATAACAGACTCTGCATTCATGTGCTCTGTGTGGCTCAGGAATAACAATTAAAAAAAGATATGAAAGCTAAAAAGTATATGTTTTAAAACCATCTATTCACTCACTTATCCATTACTTGTGGCTTTGGGTTTTTTTCTTTATTTCCCCTAGAAGCAACTGGGAGATCTACAATAGCTGAATGGAAGGCTGGTTTTGGTCTAAAGTATGCATCCAAGTATGACAAACTGCAAAATAGTCTAGTAATTCAATTTATATTAAAAAAAAAAGTTCAAAAGTAAAAGTTACAGAAACATATTTCTATTCAATTCCTGATTTGAATTAACAGCTTTTGAGCAAGAAAACTGCTTTTCAAGCACTTTCTCCCTTACAGACTTTCTCCAAAATGTAGTGAGGAAATAGACACTTTAGGGAATGCTCTTGAGATGCTTCCCTACAGAGGGCATTCTCCATATATCCTCCATATAAGAAGGTTACATGGAGCATATGTTTCTTTCAACTATTACTACACCTTGAAGACCTTTCAGCCTAGCTGGTAGGCAAGTGGCAAAATGTTAGTGCAGCAAGTGTGAAACACGAAAGCCAGAAATTGGTGTTTTGTTTTGTTTGTTTTTGGGAGCCAGTATTCCCAAAAAGCTCTTTGTTAAAGAAGCCTATGGTATTCCCCAGGCAAAATCTCTTTGGAACTGGCACAGGGAAATATCATGAAATCCTTTACTTGCAAACATTTCTCATCTTAGTTGCCTCTAAGAATGTTGAAGTTATAAGTTATTTCAGTGATTTTTGTTAACCTAAAGAAGCATTCAAAATTAAAAAACAAAAAAGTGTAGTACCAGGTATTTTAAAGAGGAGACATCTGGTAACAGCAGAAACTCACACTTCCTCAAAATTGTATCAGAGCTTTGAAAGGATGAAGAAGCTCTGCAGAGAGCACAAGTCAAGGCACAGTGCAAGAGCTTAGCAGAAGAATAGCTGCAAATAAAAGAGGAAACAGACTTTTAAAATTTGGCTTCAGGAGCACATTAAAAAACAGACACTGCAAACAGAGAAGAACTACTAGGACAAATTTGTATCACTTTTACAAAAATGTCAAATGAGGATCAAATATATTAGCTATTACAGGTGGCAACATAATTAAAACAAAATCCTAAAAGGAACATGAGCTGTCTTATGACTACACTCCAGTATATTATCCTTAATAGATGGACCCACTGGCCAGAATTATAAACGATTAAAATGCAGAAAGTTAAGCTTTACTAAAAACACCACAGGCATGTCTGCCAGTTCCCTGGAATGCCTCTGTGCATAATGTTCCTCATGGCGCAGCTTCACAATCCTCTTCAGCCAGTTGAAGGCCATGATACTGCCAAGGGGCTCCCCACAACCCCACGATACTTCTTTGTACTTCCACTTTGTTGACACCAGTCACTTCAAGGCAAGTTGTAGCTGACATAAATTAAAATCAAATGGAGTTTTAAAATTAATTACTTCCTTCTCAAACTCAGAAAGCAAGAGAGGTGGCAGAAACATGAAGCCAGCAAAACAGACAGACTTGCCCCTTTGTGAGGCAGTGTTGTCCTAGATTGATATGAGCTAGCTTTGAAAATGCACCCTAAGAGCTTATACAGTGCCTACAAGAATTGCTCAGTCCTGATGCGTGACTCTGCCTTCTGGAAATACACTTATATTTCACTCTACATGAACAAAGAGAAATTCAAATATCAAACCTCTCTGTGTAACTGAAACTAATTATATTCAAATATATAGTACAGTTATGCTAATACAGTGAACTACACTCCAACCCCAACGACAGGGCATAAGTAGCAATGCTAGCTTGGAGCTGTCTTAGTCTATTAGAGTGTAAAGTGCTCTAAATCCTAAGAGTAAAGATGCGTTTTTCTGCTTTACAATTTCAGGCACTCCAACTAACTTAGATGGACTTAGGTAATGATTGATTAAGAAGAAAGATCTAGTCAACGAGGAAGCAAATCAAACTTTTTCTAATGATGAATTTTCATAGAGTTATTATCAGAATATAAGACTGTAACATCCATTCAATGATTAAGAATCTTTTATTGATTTAATTGGTAATGGCACTCCTCACCAAATCCCATTTCCCCCTCAAAAAGCACTTGTTTTCCTATATGATCCAACTTATTACACTATGCATTAATCTTTTGTAAAATCCAGCTTTATTAAATCAAAGGCCTTCAGCCATAGGAAATAGAGCAAAGTGAGAAAATCAGCAATTTAAATGGCACTGAAAGTCATTCTTTTTATTCAGGCTAACAAGCATGGTACTTAAAAGGGAAGTGAAAAGCAGAGCATGCAATTGTAGCTTAAAAGTATAAGGAAATAGGAGTACACGAAGATAGAATAAGTATATCAGGACATATCAAGTACCTCAAGATTGGGTTAAAAAGACAAAGGTGGTATGAAAATGCATACACACAGTCTCATGGTTTTCTGAGAGGTATAATATCATACTTCACCACAAATTCTCCAATGCTCTCACATTTGCTTGTATGCTGGCATGTTTCAAACAATTGTCAGGATGGATGGATGTGGACAAGAGAGGCATGATCCAGCTAAGCTCGCAAGCTGTGTAATTGTGCTCTTTGATAGTGAAAGGCGGTACACAGGGCTGCACAGCAAGGCTTATTAGCTCAAGTGCCATACGAACTATTTAAGTTACACAGTTTGTGTTTGCAATGTCTTGTGTGGAGCCAGCTCACAGTCCAGACAAAGAAAGAGCTTGTACGAGTCTTCATGCATTCCTATGACAGGCTCTGCAATGAGTGCCATACGAACTATTTAAGTTACACAGTTTGTGTTTGCAATGTCTTGTGTGGAGCCAGCTCACAGTCTGGGCACAAAGAAAGAGCTTGTACCAGTCTTCATGCATTCCTATGACAGGGTCTGCAATGTCTATTTAGTATGTTATGTCCTTCAGTGATATAACCTGGCTATGTAAGATGACAGTACCAGCAAAGACAACAAAGCCAAACAGCACCATGCTCTGCCAAAGGATGCACACAGTGACTGGCAGTACCCCAGCGGGAGTTGCGCTGCTCAAACTTTCTGAAGAAGGTACAGCCACAAAGAGGAGCTCAGAGTACCAGTACCTCCCAGAAACTAGCTGACTGCAGAGCATGAGGACTGAATTTCAACTCCTTATCATCATCTTGAGG